GAAAACTGTACTTGAACAATAAAAAGTTAAAAATAATAAAAAAAATATACAGGGAACCAACAGTGAAGGGAAGGAAACTGATACTCAAATCAATGATCTGAAACAAAAAGAAGAAACAAGCATCCAACCAGAACAGAATGAAGAAACAATAATTCAAAAAAATGAGGAGAGGCTTAGGTACCTCCAGGACAACTTTAAAGGTTCCAACATTCAAATCATTCAGGTGCCAGAAAGAGAAGGTAAAGAGCAAGATATTAAAAACTTATTTGAACAAGTAATGAAGGAAAACTTCCTCAATCTGGTGAAGTAACTAGACATGGAAGTCCAAGATGCTGAGAGAGTCCCAAAGAATTTGGATTTAAGAAGAAACACACCAAGGCACATCATAATTACATTACCCAAAGTTAAAGATAAGGAGATAATCTTAAAAGCAGCAAGAGAAAAGGAGACAGTTACCTACAAAGGAATTCCCATCAGATAGTCAGCTGATTTCTCAAAAGAAACCTTACAGGCAAGAAGAGGGTGCAAAGAAGTATTCAGAGTAATGAAAGGTGAGGACCTACATCCAAGATTACTCTATCCAGAAAAGCTATAATTTAGAATGGAAGGGCAGAAAAAGTGCTTCCCAGATAAGTTCAAGTTGAAGGAGTTCATCATCACCAGACCCTATTACATGAAATGTTAAAGGGACTTATCTAAGAAAAAGGAGATCAAAACTATGAACAGTAAAATGATGACAAACTCACAACTGTCAACAACTGAATCTAAAAAACAAAGAAAAACTAAGCAATAACTAAAAGAGGAACAGCATCACAGAAATGGAGATCCCATGGAAGGTTATTAGTGGGGAGGGGAGGGGTAGAATGGGGGAAAAGGTACAGGGACTAAGAAGTATAATTGGTAGGCACAAAATAGGCAGGGAGGTTAAGAGTAGTATAGGAAATGGAGAAGCCAAAGAACGTATATTTATGACCCACAGACATGAACTAAGGTGGGGGAATGATGGTGGAAGAGGGGGCAGGGTGGAGGGGAGTAAAAGTCATAAAAGGGACGACTGTAATAGCATAATCAATAAAATATACTTTTGAAAAAGAGAAAATGAGGCATTAGCAATGCTGTGGATGGATCTGAGTATCATGATATTTAATGGGATGAGTAAAATTAGTTACTCTTCAGAAGACACTGGTAATGTAGAAATTGAAGAAGACAATACTTCTGATATTGACAGTGATGAAGAATTCCTGGCCTGCTATGATGCATACATATTGTAAAATTTGTTACCAGAATATAAAATTTCTTATACCTTGTATTTGTTCTTGTGTTTTGTAAGTATTTGTTACATAAAATTTCTTCTACCATAATATATTCAAAAATAAATGTTAAAATTATTTTATAGTATCAAAAAACGAGCATCTTAATATTAATTAATTAAAACAAAAGATTTTTTTTCTGAAAGTTTGTGCCAAAATGTGTGTGCATTATACAAGGGAGCACATTATACATGGCAAAATGTGGTAAATCTCTAAAGGTAAACATTCATGCAGGCTAGTGCAGGCTAGTTAGGAAGACACCTGCTATGGTAGTAAAAAGGCTTCTCTGCAAATCATTTGATGACTTTCCGATGTTCACCTTTGAGTTAGATTCTTGTTCACCCTCCCACAGGAGGGCAGTACATACCGCTGAAAGCTTGGCCCCTCTGTGACTACACCTTACATTGTACCTCAAGTCTTACAGTCTTTAAAACACCATGCTTTTAAATTTAAAATGTGGGCTTAATTTAACAGGTTAAATTAAAATGTTATATTAAGATTATTGTTTCCTTCCTATTATTTAAGTATAAATTCATTGTTAAAATTACCAAAAAATTATTTGGCTTTTTAAAAATTTAACTTGAGAAAATATTTTCTAAATATCATATGGAAGAACAAATGGGAAAGAATAGTCAAGACAGGTTTGAACAAAAATAAGTAGTTGAAAGATGGTGCTAGGGGGACAGCTTGCCCTATCAAATATGAAGTATGTAACGTGATGATGACAAAACATCATCACGTTACCTTCACTTATGCTAGTGAAGGTACTAGCATAAGAATTGACAAATGGCTCAGAGTTACAAAGGCTTAAAGTCAGTATGAGGTAAACATGGCACCATAAATTGGAGGGAAGGGAACGGGAACACTTCAGTGAATCCTATTGGGACAATTAGTTAACTCTTAGGGGAAAAGTAAGTTTAGGTTTTACTTTTTACCATACCTTACAAGTAAATCACAGAAGTTTAAATAATGGTGGGCAGGGGTGTTAATAAACTATTGAGAACTAAAGAAAGTATAGGTGAATATTTTATCTCAAGGTATGAACAAGATGGGTATAAAAGTAATAGAAGAAAACACAAATGGAAAACTCAGAAGATGTGATTATAAAAATTAAAATTTTTCTTACATAAAAATCTTTAAAAGGGCAATTATTTTTAACAAACAGTACAGTGTATTTTCTAATGTTTCTAAATATTCATTACTTTTGTAACAAAAATATAATAAAAATCTTTAAAATGTACCTGAAAAAATGGGTATGAGATGTGAAAAAATCACAGAAAAAGAAATTAGAATTACTAAAAACTCTTTTTAAATCTCCAACCCTTGTTCATGGTCATGAAATGCAAATGAAATACTATTTTTTACCTATCAAATTAACAAAAAATAAAAGTAGTTTAAAAGCTATTTCTCTAAGTATTAATGGAAAACAATTTTGCAATATCTATAAAGAGCCTTAAAAAAACAGTCAGAAAGTTGGGTAAAGATTTATGCCCAAAGATGTTCAAAGCTATGTTAAGAACTTTTCCATGGGAAGTATAAACCTAAATATTGCCAGGAGAGCATTTAAAGCATATACACCCTTAATATGGACTGTTATGCACCATTAAATTGAAATTTTTTGAATAACTCTTTCAGAGAATTCTTAAGCTCAAGTGCTAAGTGTAAAAAGTGAGCTATTTATATGTGTAATATGATTGTATTTTAAAAATATGTAACGCCTGGCTGGCATAGCTCAGTGGATTGAGTGCGGGCTGCGAACCAAAAAGTGTTGCAGGTTCGATTCCCAGCCAGGGTACATGCCTAGGTTGCAGGCCATGACCCCCCAGCAACTGCACATTGATGTTTCTCTCTGCCTCTCTTTCTCCCTCCCTTCCCTCTCTAAAAAATAAATAAATAAAATCTTTAAAAAAACAAAAAAATAAAAAATAAAAATATGTAACTAGAAAGGTATATTCAGAAAAACATTTAAATGTGACCCATAGTTTCCTCTTGGTGTTGGCATTGGAGATTATTTTAATTTCTTTGTGACAACTTTCCAAACAGTACTTATTCTATGTAATGAACAAATATTCCCTTAATAAACAGGAAAAAATAAATTTATTTTTAAAAAGATTCTCTTAAAGGATGGTAGCTGGTATATTAAAGGCAAAAAATTGTTAGAGATGAAGCTTTGAAATTGCAAAACACAGTCATAAAGGTCCTAGCTCCAAAATGTGCACTATTAATGTAGGAGTATTGACATACTAATTAATGTGACTTAATTCAGAATTTGAGGGCCTTCTGTGCATCAGGTACTGATGTATTTAAATTGTGTGTATTTGTTGAGTTCCATTTAACAATGTCAGTGTAATTAATACACAATCAGTTTTGTGGTAGGTGACATCTTAATACCTTTTCACCTCTGCTAAAATGTACCTCCATACCTATAACCTTCTTCACTATTTTGTAGCCCTGCTTCTTAGTGTAAATAAGGAGACTTAGTTAGGGAAAGGTTAAGTTACAGGATCAGGGCCAATGTACTGAGCTGCCTCCTTCCCTTACACACCTGAGAAGTTAGCTGGGGGTCATGGCTCTGCTCATATAGGGTAGAGGTACAGAAAAACAAGCCTTGGCTCTCTTAAAGAGCTCCTCCCCCGCTTCCCAAACACAAACTCAGCAGAACTGGGAACTTCCCTCCTTCATCCAGGCACATGACCCTGAGGAGAGGATCGGTGGCCATAGCCCACCTGCACAGAAGGCTTCATACATTTCTCTAGACCAAGTTTCATCAGCCTCAGCATTGACAGTTCTGACCAGATAATGCTTTGTTGTGGGGACTGTTGTGTTCACTGCAGGATATTCAGAAGCATCCTTTGCAGCATGCCTAGATGCCAGTTGCATTTCCTGCCCCCAAGTCATGACAAAAAATATCTCCAGACATTGCCAAATGTCACCTGAGAGACAAAATCACCCCAGTTGAGAACCACTGCTCTAGACTGTCACCCAGACAGTCATCAGGGCTCCCCACCTCCAGCTTCATGCAGTAGTAGGAACTGGGTGACTGACCTTGAAACCCAAACAACAATCATTTTTATTAGTATTTTTATATTTTCTTCCTATGAATATCTTCTCTTTGCCGGTGTATTGATGAATATGCTTTATCATGTATGCATTTGTAATTTTCTTTCTTAGAATTTTTTTATTGTAGTAGATATGGTATTATATTTAGCCTAAGAGTAGCCCTGAATTTTATTAACACATAGAGTTAACCATTTTTAAATAAACTACATAAAAGATTTTTAAACTCATTTCTTAATGCCTTTGGATGGACTCTAAACCATAATCAGTGTCTAGCATTTTAGCTTAAATTGATCACATCAAAATTAGCCAAAGTTTATAAGCTAAATTTTGTTTTCATACAAAATCTTAAAACAAATAGAATAATTGCTTTGCCTGGATGTTAAAATTACAAGTGAATTTTACATTCTTCCTAATAACTTACACTTTATTTCTCCTGAGAATGTTCTTTCTCAAATCATTTTTTCCTGGTTATCTTTTTAAAGTTACCTCATGGGGAAAATAGACACTCTCTAAATCTTTGAAACTTACCTGGACTAGTGATACACACCTAGCCCAGTGTCAGACAGTAGTTTATATGTAATAAGTTTAGATGGAACCATTTTACATTTGTTATTTCCATGCTTTTTATAGGCATTGAAACACCCATATTTTCAAGTTGGTCAAGTATTAGGCCCTTCCTCACGTCATCTGGAAACAAAACAATCTGTAAATAAGCAGGTACAACTGCTAGAATTGAAGCCATCTTTAATTGAGCTAGAACCTACCCCTCTGCCAGATGTAAATGATCAGACTGCTGGACAGCCCCAGCCAAAATTTGGCCACCAGCCACTGCAGTTCATCCAGCCTCCACAGAACACGGGTGTCCAGAAAGCGCCAAAGCAGCAGAGCCAACAGAAACAGCCTCAGACACTATTTCCAAGTATCATCAAAAACATGCCAACTGTAAGTCACCCATGATGCTTTTAGATGTAATAGTTTGACTAGCTCAAGTAGGACTTGGTTTCTAGGCATTCCTAAAAATGTCAGGGAAGATATAAAAGATTATTCTGTGTCAAAGCCTCTGCTTCCTCTGTCAGGAGCTTGGCATGGGATAAAATTCTAAAAAGAAAAACTCAGAGTGAATGTCAGAAAGGTTACATGCTGTGGACTTTCTCTAACAGTTATTTAGGTTCAAGAGAACTCCAAGAAAAATTGAAAAGAATCTGGGACAAAAGAAAGCTGGTAAGGATTTTAACAGTAGTTTTATACTGTTTTTAAATGTTAATAAATGTGAACAGAATGTTTTTTTTTCTTAAGTGTCAGGCATAATATAAAATTTCCTCTTCCCATTTCTTTTGTTCAGAGAGCTTGTCAGGTGCCATATATTTTAATGGTCTCCTGAAGAGGTATACCATACTCCCAAATGCATTTGTATTCTTGGCATTTTAGAACTGAAAGACATCTTAAAGAACCCTGTGTCTAATTCCTTATCCAGTCCTGCCCCCAACAGCAGTAGTCACAGTCTAACATATTACTGATTCCTTGTTTCTTATGTGTATTGTTTATTATCTGGCTATTCCTACTAGAATGTAAGCTCCATGAGGTCAAGAATGTTTGTGTGTTTTATTTACAGACCCAGACTTAGAACAGGGCCTGGCACATAGTAAATTCTCAACAAATGAATGAATGAGCAATTGCCTACACTATCTTTAAATGACCTCCAGGATCTTGAGGAATCCACATATTCTGACTATTAGAAAGTTCTTCCTTAAACTGAGCTAAAATCTGGTTTTCTTTGTCTTTTAGCAAAAGGTAATCACTCTTCTAGAAAGGCAGCCTTCCAGATATTTGAAAATACCCTTATATCATCTGCTCTTTTCTCCTGGAGAAACATCCCAGTTCCTTCATGTGCTCCACATATGACATCGTTCACCAGTGACAGTAACCTTTGATTCCTGTGTATGAAGCTGCCTTTGAGTCCCCTCATGATCCTGCTCCACTCTTAGAAAGAGGCTGCCAGCACTAGGAGCAGAGAGCAGGCAGGGCATGAAAAACTGGATGAATCACCTCCAACATTCCAGAACCACATGTCCACTAGTACCAATGAGGATTACATTTGTTTTTGTTTTTCTTCTTGTTTTTCTTGAAAGGCACATCAAATGTAGACTCATACTGAGAGGGAAGGAAAAGAAGTTGATATTTGAGTAGCCACTAAGTGCCATTCACTCTGCTAGGCCCCCCAGTATGCTTTTGCTAAGTTAAAGTACCCAATAACCTAGCCCTAAATTTTTAGATAGCAAATAAGTTCCAGAGTTGGGATTGAGTATTTTGTCAACTAAAATTCCTAAGTCTATTTTTTTTGTAGGTGCTTCTGCTAAATCACATATTCTTAACTTTCTTTATGTATTTGATCTCTAGGATTCAAAAATTGCAGGAACAAACTTTTACCTCTTAAATTTCTAATAAGTATTTTTAAACCCTTATTTTGTCTTCTCAGTTTAACCATTCTGCCCAGATTTTCACCAGCTATGGATTTGTTCAGTTGTTCATTTGTTTTTGTTTTCTTCTGTACCTTCGTACTGAACGATGAGCCCTTGGGCAGGCCACTCGAACCTTCTGGCAGATTGACTCTGATCATTAATCAGTGCTCTTGGCCATAACAAAATACCATAGACTGGTGACTTAAACAACAGAAATTTATTTGCTCACAGTTCTGGAGGCTGGGAAAGTCCAATATCAAGGTGTTAACCAATTTGATTCCTGGTGAGAGCCCTCTTCCTGGTTTGTAGACTAGACCTTCTTGCTTTGCCCTTACATGGCAGAGAGAGAAGGTAAGCTTTCTGAAGTCTCTTCTTGTTAAGGCACTAATTCCCATCATGAGGGCCTCTCTCCCATGACCTTATATAATCCCCAGTTACGTCCTAAAGGCCCCATCTCCCAATACCATCACAACGGTGTGTAAATGGACGGGGAGGTGGACAATAAACATTCAGTCTGTAACAGTACTGGTCCACCTTTGTTGTCCTTTCATTACTTCATTATAGCATGAAACAGCCTTTCACCTACGTTGTTGAAGTCCACATAGACTACATGTACTCATTTGTCTTTCATGGGAAATGGTGGCCAATATGATCTACCACTTATTTTACTCAATGCTCAAAAACTTGCCTTTAATAACTAATTTTAGAATCTCTTTCCTCATCCTGTACCAAACTTATTAATATAGAGTTTGTGAAAATTCACTTTCTACTTCATAAAAATTATATTTGCCCCTTTCCGATTTTCTCAGACATACAAGACTACTTGGTATTACTGATGTTGTTTAGCAGCATACAGCAGCAGCTCCCTAAAATACAATTCAACTGAAATAAGGGTCTTGAACTCAGCTAAGTATAACTTTTGATTAACTCGACTCATCTGGGGCTTTAAATCATTTTATTCTCCTTCGTCTGGAGTTCATGCTCCTTGACAAAGAAAATAGTGTAATAGAATTTGGCAGATAACACTTTTTGTCATCATCCATCACTATATCATCAGCTTCAAGAAACAGCATATTCATTTTTTAAGCATCTTCTTGCTCACAACATAACTGTATTTGCTGACCTTGCTTCCAAATTCCCTAAATTTCAATTGCCTTTTGGATTTTTCAGCTTACATGTCCCCAGCCCACCCCATGTAAATTTGAGTTAAACTACTCATTGTTTGCCCCAAGCCAAGTCTTCTTACTTGTTTTTTATTCCTTTTTTTTATCCTTGCCTGGAGATCTGTTTATTGATTTTAGAGAGAGGAAAAGGGAGGGAGGGAGAGAGAGAAAAACATCAGTGTAAGAGAAATACATCAGCCGGTTGCCTCCTGCATGTACCCTGACCAGGGATCAAACTTGCAACCTAGGGTGTGTGCCTAGGGTATGTACGGGGATCCTACCAGCAACCTTTTGGTGTACAGAACAATGCTCCAACCAATGGAGCCACCCAGTCAGGACCCTCATTCCTTATTTCTGAGATGATTGGACTCAAACTTTTAAAGTGTCCTGACCTTTTCTCCTGTATCCACTAGGATTACATGTAGTGACTTATGACAGAAATCTGACCACTTTGACTTAAACAATAAGGGGTTGTTTTTCTTTCATAAAAAGAAGTCAGGTAGTGGGCAAGCCAGAGCTGGGCCACTTGTAAAAAGAACCAGATGCTTTTGTCTTCTTGTTCTACTACCCTTAGCAAGCAGCTTTTATACCTACAGACATAAGATGATTGCTGCTCCTGTGGGCTTGCACCTGCTGTCTGGAAGGAGGAAGAGTGAAATACACTGACACAGGATAGCAGAGTCTAAAAATGTCCCTCCTGTGAGCCCCTTCCAACAGACTTTTACCTACAGCACACTAGCTAGATCATGTCACATGGCTACCTATTGCTGCAAGGAAGGTTGGGGGTTTGGATATTTTAACAGGGCATGTTGCTGCACTGAACAAACTATTAGTAAGGAAAAAGGGAAGATTGGCTCCTGGGTGGGCAAGTAGCAGTGTCTGCTACATTCTCCTTTGATCTCTGCTCAGATAGACTGAAAGTCCAGACTTTTTATTCTTTGTTAAAACAAATGTATTTTTTTCTGAGCATTCCAACCACTCTGAATCTGTTGCCCTTGTCACTACCTGCCACTAAAATTTTAAAGGCATCCTGTATGAAGCCTGGCCTTTCTAGCATATTGCCTTTATTGCATCACTTTTTCTTTGTTTTTTTTTCTCAAAAACATCCAGTATTCTCCATTGCCCAGAGGATGACTGCACTTTCTTAGGCCCTTCATAATGTAACATTAGTGTGTTTTTGCAACCCTGACTTCTGCTACTTCAGCACAAACCATCCACTTCTGTAAAATTAGTCTACCTTTTTTTCTTGGAACAAACTCTGGCACTCTCCTGTTAAAAAGCCATACTTTGTACATGTTCTCTTCAAACTCTAGAATAATAATAACTATAACAACAACAGCAATAATAATGTCTAACCTTTAATATGCCTATGTGCTAGGCCCTATCATAAGGACTTTCAGTGTATTTTACTATTAAATTCATAAACACCAATTCAGGTAAATACTATATGTTCCCATTTAAGGAGGAGGAAACAAAGACTTTGAGAAGTTAAGTCACTTGCCTAAAGAGACACAGCTACACATGGCAGTTTTCCAAATTACACATCAGTGAGGAGTCAGTTTTGATCCTAAATATTCAAGTCTCCTTCCAAACCAGATTCACAGAGATCACTCCCTTTATCAATTCCTGTTATATTTTTGACATGTGCTACTTGTATTTATGTTAGTACTTTCATGTGTGTTTGTGTGTGTATACATACATATACACATATATTTATGTGTGTGCGCGTGTGTGTGTGTGTGTGTGTGTAGCTCCTTAACTATGTGGAAGACTCCTCGAGAATGGGGACTCTTAATATCAAATACAATAGCTTGTGCATATAAAAGGCATTCAGCAAATGATTAAAGATGATGATGATGACTGATTTTCCACCACAGAAGCCAAATAGCACGCTGGGGCATAAAAGCGCTAGGAGGCGTTGGGGTCAGACTGTGTTCAAGTCTGGAGATAGTTTGGAAGAGTTTGAGGACTGTGACTTTGGAACCTCCCATTCCAACAAGTCAAGCATGAATGTTTTCAAAGAAAAGAGGAGAAAAGATTCTCCATTTCGGTAAGATTTTAAATTCCTCTGGAAAGTATATTTATCATGCATCAACTTTATTTTACTCATTAAATACAAATGAATGTAGATATTAAAACTAACTTACCTTTGAAAAGGTAAGACTCTTGATACCTCATGGTCATGACTCTCAGTATTAATGACTGAGTGTCACAGGTGTATGGAGGAAGGGGTTTTTGTTAAATCTTCAGTGTGCCTATTGAATTATGATCACCACTGTTCCCATTTGAAATTCATATGCCTATTAGCAGAAGATAGAGCACACTCCGATGGTGTCCGTCCACATTCAAGTATTTCTTTGCTTGCTCTTCTAAACTTTTTTGATCATTTCCTGAACTTTTCCTGAATTTTAATATCTCTGTCAATTCCTTTTCTTTTCGTAAGTTGAATCATCATGAATGTGTTATTCAACTTTGAAGTGAGGGTGGGTTAAATTTTGGTGAATGTTTTGGGAAAACATTTTCCTTTTTTTTCCCTCTTTGAGAGGAATAAGGAAAAAAGATGTGACGTGAGTCAGAGAAATTTATCCGATAGCTGTTTGGTATTAATTATATAGTGGAGAAATCTTCATTTTTGGGTATACGTACTTCTGAAGGTACATGAAAACTCTCCAAGGGGGACATATACTTGGATAATTCCTAGTCGATCAATTTCTAGATCCTTGAGTTACACAGTACTCCTCCCTAAAATATGTGAGCTGGAGAATAAGCTTGCTAATCCACCTTCCACGTTGCAGAGAGCTGCACCTCTCAGCCATTTCAAAGCTTGCATGCCATAAGGGTTTAACGACCTGTGTGGTGCTAAACAAAGGGAGAAATCAGAAGACTCCCACCTTCATCTCAAAAGGCTTTCTGTCTTTCCTTGTCTTATGCTATTTCTTTTAAGGGGAAAAGCCTGCCTTAGAAATAGCATATTTTAGTATGTGTTGGAAAGCATGGAGATTCAGAACCACTTTAGGGACCAGAGCCTAGTGATGCTTTATTTTTTTAAGGGTACTAGAAATGTTTTGTGAAACTGTCTGATTTATCAAAACCTATGGGTAGAAATTATACATAATTTTTGAAGATTCAGAGTATTTTATGTAATAAGGTAGTTAAAAACTTATTTTGTCAAGTCATACCATGAAATATTCCAGTTACAGTCAGTTCTCCTATTTCATCTTATAGAATATTTACTGTTTTGATCTGCTATTAATAAGTACCAAGAAATAAAATTGTTTAATTTATGATGAAAAATTATAGACTTCAACTTAAACATGTACAGGGAGCTACATAGTTGAGTTTTTTTGTTTAAACAATTATTTGCATCTGGGAACAAGAGTTTGAAGACCGTTGGTGTAAGCTGTAGATGACTTGAAATTTTTTCTTTTTAAACCCATGTCATTCTAATTACAGCTGAACTTTATCATATACAGGGATGGTCAAAAGCATGTTAATAATAACAAAAATAATACAATAATTAATAAATAATACAAGAATAAATTTTGTGTACTTACAAGTGTAAACCTACTTTTGCCTACCCCTGTATTTTTAGGGTAAAAGATGTTTGAATCAAAACCTATAATTAAGATCAGGTTTGTGGTCTATATACTTGATTCTGGCAAGGGGACTATTGGTAAAAATTTTCAGCATCAACTTTTCCTTTGAAATTCTTTAGAAATAGAGGAACTATATAATAATGAAATGTAAATGTAGGTCTTCCATTTTAGTTTTTGGGTATTTTTAAATGGCCTTATATACTTTAAGCACATAATAATTATTAATATACTACCATTTATTAATCACCTACCTAAATTTTATTTATAATCTTCATATTTCAGTAAAAATATTTGCAGAATAGGATGCTAGACCTCAGAAAGGTTAAATGAATAGGCTGCCCAAGGTTAGATGAGGCTTAATTCAAGTCCAGATCTCTGTCTTTTCTGCACCACACTATCTCTTAAGCAACAGGCACTCAAAAGCTTGGTGAGCTGAATGGACTCTGCTGTTCTCTACTCAGTTTCTCAGGCAGCCTTGTCTTCCCATAGAGAATACAGAGTACCAAACACTGGAGTGTTAAACCTTTACTTAATGGTTATCTTCTTTTAAGATATTTATACTAATTAATATTTATACTTGTATTCATACTTGGTAGACATTTACTAAGTATCTAGATGGTATTAAAAAGATGTATGAACATGATATCATCTGTCTTCTATTCATTAAACATACAGAAGCAGAAATAGGACCTTCAAATATCTATTAAGACAGAGTATTTATTAAGTACCACTAATGAGCGAGCTGCAGGGCACTCTAAGAGCTCTGTTGGTGGGCACTTTGAGGAGGAGAGGAAAGTCCTTGTAGAGTAAGCAGTTTTGAAAATGAGTAGAATTTCAGCAATTGGTGTGACTACAATGAGCTGAGGGGAAGGGAAAGAAGTCAGAAATGGATGGGACTGCTCCTAATGAAGGGGGCCTAGTTGTGTCTAGGGATAGCCCAAAGTGGGCTGGGGGAGCCAGCAATTCAAAGGGCCAGCCAAGTCCATGTCAGTCTGCAGAGGGGTCCCAAACAACCTTACTGATTATACATATACCGGTGACATTGGCTGTGATTGGCTTCCCTTTCCTTGTGCCCAAGTCTTCTTACATTATAAATCCACAACTGCAACAGTTGTAGGGAAGATAGAAACATTTATACAGACAGTTTGCTGCTCAGTTAGGAAGCTTTCTGTCATGTAATGTCTAGTATTAGACATGATTCTGTGCCCTGGTTAGTATTTATTGGGGGGGAAAGGTCATCAGTTAGTATTCCTACGAACAAAAGAACTATGATGGAAACCATTAGAGTGAGGTCACCTTGACTATTTTGAAAAGTTGTACAGAGAATAGGTGAGACCATAGTAGTGTCATCTTCTCATTTTGCATGCTGTAATACTACCTTATGTTGACTTTCAAGGCTTCCAGAGTCAGTACCGTCAGGCTCCAACCACTTACCAGGAGAAAACAAGAGCTTACCTACTGCTATTTCCCTAAAATCTGATTCTGAATTGTCAACAGCTTCAACAGCTAAACAATACTACTTAAAACAATCAAGATATCTTCCAGGTAAGTAGACAAAATAAAATGCTTACTCCTACCAACTATATAGATAAGTCAGACTCAAGTGTCCTGAACCTTTGTGGAAAGGGCACCCTTGAAATAAAAAGTATAATAACAGTGCTCTTTGCTGGCTCAGCCTTGTCAGTGCTTGTTATCAAGTACTTTTCTGGGCCTCCTGCCTTTGTGAAGCCTGCTCAAGAAATGCCTAGCAGCCAAAAATCAAGATAAAGAATATGACTCAAAATAATAGCCCCCTCCGCCCAACCAAAGCTATGCCTTTAGTAAATGCTAAATTTTATTAAAACAATTTTGCACCCCCATTACAACTTTTTATAAAATGTAGAATTTTATACTGTTCCCTAAATGATGTGATACATGTTTTCTAAAGATCGTTTGAATTTCTGAGTAGAACATGCTAGGGTCACAAGATGGGCAAGGAGGTTGGTCAAGAAGCCATTGAATTCGTCTTGGTAGAGAGGATAATTTCTTATTCCAGAATGGTAAAAGCAGATAGGGAAATGGGTAAAATCTAGTCTAGATGTCTTTCAGTAGTGAAACTGACAGGACCTGCTGATGTGATTAGCATGGGTAACGATAAAGAACGGAAGGAATTAGTGTTGGCTTCTGGATTTTTGACTTGGCAACTGGGTGGATAATGGTGACTTTAACTGAGAAAGGGAGGATTAGGAGAGGACAAGAATGTGGAAGTAGAGAATAAGGAGTTGAGATTGGGATGCCTATTTTTTTTATTGTTGTTCTATTACAATTGTCCCAATTTTCCCCCTTTGTCCTCCTCTGCCGCCCAGCCCATCTCCCGCTCCCACCATCAATCTCCACACTGTTGTCCATGCCCATGGATCATTCATACATGGTGTTGGGATGCCTATAGAACAACTGAGTTGATGTATCTAACAGACAATTGGATATATGAATCTGGAGCTTAGGAAAAAGATCTAGACAGATGGTGAATTTACATTTTACCTGAAAGGAGAATTTTCTCCTGAAAATTCACTTAAAAATTCAAGTTAGTTGAAAGGAAATCAAATTTTAAATCACTGTGTATCTATACAGATACATCTTTAGTTCAGCAAGAGGAAGAAATGATAATTTTTCTCTGTGCTGTTGTGGAAATGGTCATTTACAGGTTTCTGAACATAGTTAGGCCATTTGGTTCATATGAGAAAGATTTGCTTTTCACATTTAAGCCTCCAGAAGTAAGCTACAGTCTTCACTTCCCAGAATTGTGTTTAGGAAGCAAGGGTAAGGAAGATGAGAGAAAAGGTTGAGACTGGATTGGTAGCAAGAGATTGATGCATAACATATTTTTCTGGTTATATGGTTACCTTTTAGGCAACCATATAAACTTCAGTACTAGAAATCCAATAGGAATTCATTCCTGTTGTCAATAACTGAGTAGAGAAAAGAATGAAACTAAGTAAAGGGTTTAGAAATGAATGGGGTAGAAAACAGAAGACACGTGGATATGTAACCAAAAACAGGTCCAGCTGCCTGCTGCTACGAAAACCAATATTCAAGAGGCAGGTGCTGATGTAAAGGAAAGGGTTTATTTTCAGATGCCAGCCACCTGGAAGATGGGGGACTCATGTCTCAAATCCTATCTCCACATCTCAGTGGAGGCAGAGACTTTTATAAGGAGGGAAAGAGAAAGCAAAACAAAGAGATCAAGGGGAGGAGGTTGAGAAGTTCTCCACCTCCACTAGCACAGCCCATTCCAATAAGGCAATTGATGTCTTACTGCCAGTGTGTCTCGTCCTGCTTTAGTCATCCTGGCTCCATAGCATCCTGGCTCCACGGTTGAAGGTCAGCAAATCTCCTGGAGTTGGGATGCCTAAAGGTCAAAGTCTGTCTTTCTGGGCAGTTAGTTCCTAGGATTCTTATACAAACATGCTGTTTATCTACAAGCTACATATTAGTCAGAGTCAGCACTTACAGAAAAAATGTCTAAAGAATGGTGGGATGGGTTACGGTTTCCTACGGTTACTGTTATACACAACAGTAACAGCAATATGTTATGTTTTCACTGTTACCGACATATAGTTAGGCACAGATGTTGAATAAGTTGCAATAAACCTATGGAGAACTAATCACAGCATTTAGGATACACTTCTCTGCTGATTAGTAAGGAGGAAGACACTTCCTGAGAGAAGTTGAAGAGATTGGCATGAAGTTATCGAGGTCAGAGCTAAAAAGATAACTGGGTATTTGAAGATCTAAGTGTGATAAACACTTGTTGTAGTTATAAATCCTTCTAGGGGAGGGGAGTCAGCTGGCACGTAGTGGATGAGCAGCACTTTTCATGCAGAAGAAGGGGGAAAACACTCTAGGGCCTATAGGGAGCATGCACATTCATTTCTTAATTCTGTTGATTCATTTGTTTGTTTTTTTTATTTATTTTATTTTTAATAGTTTACTTTTATTGTATTTTTACTCATTTTATTCATTCACTCAGTGATAAATAATAAGTACCTAATATGTGCCAGGTATTTACTGTTCTAGACATTGATATACAGGGTGGGGCAAAAATAGATTTATAGTTAGTATGGAAAATAATACATTAATTAATAATATAAGAATGAACTCTGTGTTTTATATACTTATACCTGTAAACCTACTTTTGCCCCACCCTGTATTTATATAGCATATACAATACATTGAACAAGAGGGACATGGTCCCTGCTCTCTAGAAACTTACATTCTAATGGAGAAAGAAAAAGAAAATTAGCAGATAGTAGTAAATACTACTGTGAAAACAGGGAGATGAACTCGGGATGAGTGCTCAGTGAAAGGGGGGTAGGGGCCAAGGTCCTTGATTATCTAACATTTGAGCTGATACCAGAAAGATGAGAAGGAAGAGTCATGTGAAGAGCTGAGAAAAGATGTTTCAGGCAGAGGGGGGAAAGACACTTGCTTATTTGAGAAATAAAACAAAAGACTTCACATTTGTACTTTAATGGGCTTAGGAGAGAGTGGTATGAGGGAAGGTGGGGAAATCTGGCAGAGTTCAGATGATATAGTACTTGGAAAGCAGGGAAAGGAACTTGGGTTTTATTTGGAGTCCGGTGGAGGCCTTTGAGAGGACTTCAGCAGGTGAGTGAAATGTGATTTGTATATTAAAGAGACTCTTTGTATAAGGAATGGTTTATATGAATAAGACTAGAAGCTTGCGAGGCCATTTGGGAAACTACCGCAGTCCTCTGGGGGAAATATGATGATGATTTAGAGACAGATGGGCTCAAGATATAATATGGAAATGAACTTGCTGATGGATGTTGGTAGAAAACAAGGGAAAAGTGAGTTTGGGTCATTGAATCTTGAGTGGATGGTGGTGCTGTGTCCTGAGATGGGAAAGACTTAGGAGGAGCAAGATTGGGTGGGGAACAGGCAGTCATTCTTATCTGAGGGCTGACACACTGAAGTTGCTTGTGAAACTCCAATGTGGAGAGGCCAAGCAAGCAATTAGAGGGAAAGAGTCAGGAACCCTGAAAAGGGACCTAGTTCCAAGATAACAGATTGGGAGTCCCCGGTGACTCCCAGACAGTATTTAAAGCCATGCAATGAATAGGATTGGCAATGAAGAAAGACCTTGTGAGCTGGAACAGTGGTAGCAGTAGAGGAGGAGGAGCTGAGAAAGGGAAAAGGAAGCAGCCAAACAGATGAGGGGCAAACCCCACCATGGTGGTTTCCAAAGGCCAAGAAGGTGCATGTACCTGAAAGAGTTGCTTTCCCCTGAGCAGTTGGAATAAGGAGGATGGAAATGTCTGATTAGATTTGACAGTGGAGAGGAGCCAGGTGACCTTGATGAGCAGTTTCAGTCTCAAATGGGGAGGGAGATGTAGATTGGAATATGTTGAAAACTGATGAGAAATAAGAAATCAGTAACCAGAGACCTAAAATGGTTGAGGAGTAAGTTGAAGCAACACTAATCTCCTCCCAGGACCAATGTAGCATTACAACTAAATTGTAGAGAAATCATCCTTAATAGCTAATTGAACACTAGCTGGAGAGAAGCCTTATAACCAAAGACAGACAGAAGAAACCACTTCATCACAATTAGATTGGAGGGTAGTACAGAGGAGGTATGAGGGCTGGCGGGGCTCCCATGGGGAACAATTGAAGTTCCAGAGGGATATTTCAGCAGCCAGGGGTTCCCCTGACAAATATGAGGTCTGAACCCCAAGCTGGGCTCCCCAGCCTAGAGCACCAGAGCCAAAAGGAACCCAGATAAAATCCAGCAGTGAAAAGCAGTGGGGTTTCTGTCTATCAGAAAGAGATAGCTAAAAACACAGAGAGCTTCTTAAAGGGCCAATGCCAAAAATTTCATTTGTTGCCACTTACTCTGGGCTCCACCAGAGGAAGGGTTGAGTGGACTAGAGATGTGTGAGGACAGTCTGGGGTGGGTGGCTCTGGGGAGAGAACTTGAGGAATAACCACCAGGATCTCTTTGTGAAGTCATTCCCCACACTGCAGAAGCCATCTTTCTCAGGTAGGGCTCTCCCCTCCAAGTGGTATCAGCCTGAGGGGAAGCAATAGCCCTGTCCACAGGAATTACTCTGCCCTACCCTGTGGAGCTTAAGCAGGGCTGCAGGATACAGCTTGAGCCTATATCATTGATTAACTTTAACACGTAAGGTAGATCTCTAGGGGCTCAGAGATTTAGCTGACCCTCCCCCAGGCTCAGTGCTGGCAAAAGCCAGCCTTGGTGTACGGCCTCGTTCTTTCACACACAAACAGGCCCAGCAGAGGGGGCAACATGCTGTGAAACACTGATAGCTCCAAAAGGGTTGCCCAGGGCTAGTCACATGCAGAATCTGACAAAGGTCTGAACCAGAGTCTTTGCAGATACATACAAAGGTACAAATTAGGTACATACATACCTAATATATAGAAACAAATACAAAGAAGCAGCCCAAATGGGAAGACAAAGTAACAGATGCCAAATGAAAGAACAAGAGAATTCTTCAGAAGAGGAACTGGAAATGAAATGG